ACTCAGGCGCCGCAGGTGCCGCAGGCCCCGGCTCACGGCCAAGAGTGCCCCATCAGTCAGTTCAGAGCAGCCGCTGAGGTCCAGGAAAGTGAGGCCTGGCTGCTGGCGGCACAGGGTGGCCACAGCCTCGGTGGAGATGTCTCGGCAGCTGTGCAGGCTCAGCTCCTGCAGCTGCAGCCCAGCCACCTGGCTCAGGACCTGTAGGGCCTCGGGTGGCAGGCCAGTGCCACTCAGGTCCAGGGCGTGCAGCCTGCCTGCCCGCTCCCTCACAAACCGCAGCACGTTGCGGAAGGAGAGTTGGGAGGAAGAGGAGTCCTGGAACTCAACGGAACCCTGGGCAAGGCCTGGCTGGAAAGTGAGGTGACAGTAGGCTAAGGACAGGCGCTCCAGGCCAGGGGCACAGTTGCTGAGCCGGTTGAAGCTGAGGTCGGCCAGGTCCCGCAGGCCAGCCAGGCTGAGCTCACGGAGGCTACCCAATGCCTGCTTGACACTCTGGGCCGTCTCAGGCTGAGCCAGCAGCGTGCCTGATGTGAAGAGACTGTTGCAGCCACTGAGGTCAAGAGTCCGCAGGGCCGGGCAGCCCAGGATCAAGGCCACAAAGGCGGCCTCTGTGGGGCTGCCCCCTCCCAAGCACAAGCTCTGCAGGTGCGGGCCCAGGTGGTAGGCAACAGACTGCAGCACCTGGTACGAAGTGGGTGAGCCATCCAGGTTGGTCAGACTGATGCGGGAGATGCCTCTGAGGCCCAGGCTCTTGATGGCCGAGAGGGAGGCAGAGGACACGGGGATGTTGTACTGCACGTTTGTCTAGGAGCAGCAGTAGGGTGAGGGTTAGCCCTCTGGCCAGAGGTCTAGAGCAGGACAGGGGGCCTCCACTGTGGGGAGTGAGGTCCACAATGGGGCCCCACTGTGGTGTGTGAGGTCACGTGTGGCTGAGGCAGGTGTGGGTAGGAAGTAGGAGCTGGGAAGACAAACCATGCTGGGGTTAAGGGGAGATGAGCATGGGGGAGTAGGGAGGTTAGTGATAGACTGGACTAGATGCCTACGGAGGGACGGGGACAGAGTCGGGAGCTGGCACGCTGAGCACAGGAGAGCTGGGATGTGATCTGGAGGAGGCCCGGTGAAGCCCCGATGGGTGGGAGAACAAAGGATGTTGAACTCCAACCTTTGGGACTTTCAAAAGGAAGCCCTGAGATCCATAGTCAGTCTTCTACTCCGGGGACTTGGTGTTAGCTGAGCAACTAGCCTCCCCTACTTTCCAGAGAGCTTACCAAAGCTCAGAACAGCAGAAGGCAGGACGAAGTGAGGCAGGTGTCATGCTCCACAGCCCTCTATGGCTCAGGTGCCAGAGGTCTGGGGCAGGTGCTACGGCCTAGGCCCCCTGGTGGCCTCAGGCACATGAATATTTGCAAAATGGGTTTTGTGTGTAAGTGAAAATGCATGTGCATGTGTGAGCTAAGTGTGCAGGGCTGCCTGCCCAGGGCCTGCAGGGTCTTGGGTGGCAGGTTGGAGCCTCTGGGCCCGGGATGCTCCAGCATTCAAGCTGTGCTTGTGATCCCTGTGGCACATCTCTGGAGGGGACGTCTGTCTGTCCAGGTAAGGAAGAAGCCTTGTTTCTGTGGTTAGGATCTGATAGAACAAATCTCAGAAGTGCTTTGGAAGTTGAACTAGCCATGCCACGGGGTTGGGGTGGGGGTGGCGGCAAAAATGGGGCCCACAAAGTTGGAGCGGGGTAGAACCAGGGTAGCAAGCCCAGGGCTAAGTCACTGTGGGAACGACCCAGCTTGTGGAGGAGTTTGTGCGCCCCCAGCTGAGGAGACATTTTCATAGAACCATCCCTGATCTTGTACCAGAGGGAGCCAAAGAGGGACGGGTACAATTTGTGTAGAGTAGGCCTGTGGGGAGAGGGTTTGGCTTCTAAAACCCTGGTCCCATTCCCTACTTCTTACTCTGGCTCGTTTTAATGCAGCGACACGGTCCTGGAGCAGGAAAGCAAGCTCTAACAAACCTATCCTGTCAGTGACCACAAAAACAAGCTGCTGGGGGCCTGCAGGTGCCATTGGTGGTTAAGGCACTGGACTCCCACATGGCCAATCATGTTACGAGCCCTGAACCTGGCGGCTTGAAAATCAAGCCAGTCAGGGGCCGGTAGGTGGCATGGTGATTAAGGCAATGGTGATTAAGGGGGTCACACTCCCACATGGCCAGCCACAGTTCAAGTCCCATACCTGTGGCTTGCTCTCTCACTTTCTCTCTCTCTCTTTCTCTCACACACACACTCTGTCCCTCTCTGGTCAAATTTCAATAAATAAATAAATAAGGACTCCCATGTAGTCGACCATAGTTCGAGTCCTGGACCCGGTGGCTTAAACTCACGCTGGGCGCGTGTGCGTGCGTGCCCAAGATCCTGAGAGGAGAAAGGAGAAGGGATTGTGGCATCACCATCCCCCCTGAGGGGTGATTTCTTGCTCTCTGTCTGTCTGTCTCTGTCTTTCTGGTGAGCATGCACACGCTATAGCAAAAAAACTTCTCCAAGGGAAAAAAAAAAAAAAAAACCAAGCCAGTCACATGTGTGTGCGCACCCAAGTTCCCAAGGGATTAGGGCATGCCTCCCCCACCCCAAGGGGGTGGGGAGTTTCTCACTTTCCCTCTCTCTGTCCCTCTGAAGAGCACATATGCTCTATGACAAAAATATAAAAAAAAGGGCAAAACAATAATAAAAAGCTGCTGTGTACTGCGTGGACACAGGACGTGCCTCTGCAAGATGTTAGCTTCAGGATTCTCCCAGCGTGGGACTCTCCTAGGTGTGGAGAAACCAGCGTGGCTTCTGCCACAGTCAGAAGCAGCTGCTGGGGCTGTCAGGCTGGGAAGTGGCATGTGTAGGAGATGGGGACCAGCTCCTCGCCTCTTTCACAGGAAGCAGGGGGGCAGCCAAGTTCCGATTCCAGACCCCACTTCTGGAACATGGTTATTCCACGAGAGGAGCGCTCGCCACAGATGCCCCTGGGGGCAGTGGTTGGAATAGATGGGGAGACGATGGGATAGTGGGGACTCCCAGAGCCTGGGTCTCTGTTTTTTTTTTTGGGGGGGGGGAAGATTTTTCCTATAGGATGCATGTGCTCACCAGAGACACAGAAGGAGACAGAGGCAGAAAGCCAGAAATCACCCCTTCAGTGGGGAAGGCCACGCCGCAATCCCTTCTCCTCTGGGGATCTTGGGCACACATGCACAAGCGCCCAGCATGAGTTTTAAGCCACTGGGTCCGGGTCTCAAACCACATCGACTGTGTAGTAATCCAGTGACGTAACCATTATGCCATCTGTTGGTCCCCCCCCTCTCAGTTTTAAGGAGGGCTAGAAGCTCCCAGTGTGGAGGTGATGAAACTATCAGAGGACAGGTCTGGAAAGGACAGGAAAAGCACACCTCCAGCCATTTCTGAGCCCTGCATGACAGACAAGTCAATCTGATGCTGAACAGCGTAAACTACACCTGGGGGGTTGGCTGCTGGCTGGTTGCCAAGGCAGCATCCGCCCCCATCACCAACTTGTTTCCAGGAGCCCCTGAGATCCAGAAGGAGACAAACAGCCAAGGGAGGGCATTGGCAGTCACCCCAGGCCAAGTCCAGGGCCGGCTGCTGGCAGCAAAAGTCACTCAATATAGGTGCAGGGCCTGGCCTAAAGGACTTCCAGTTATTGTGGGGAGATGGGAGGCTTGAACCAGGTGGTCTTCCCTGCTCCACACGTTACCTGGACTTAAACTGTAGGAACCCAGGAGCAGCTTTTAGGACACTTTCTCTCTGGGGTCACAGCAGCAGGCAAAAGCAGGGCTCCTGGGTTCTGGACCTCGGCCTTGGAGCAAACTCTCCCTCCCTTGGTCCTAGGAAGATGCTTCTAGGAGCCCAAAGGAGAACACAAGGACACCTACTCCAGCTTCCGCAAAATCATTTGGGAAACTCCTGACCCTGCTAAAAGAGATGCACGTTCCTAGACTGTGGGAGGCCAGGGTTTTGTTGAGACTACTGATGTCCCGAACTGAGTCTATATACAGACTCAGGAGGTCGTTGGACAGAAAAAATGGCCCTCCCTTCTGCCCGGTACAGGAACCAGAGCTATCTTCCTCTAGGAACCTTGGTCTCTAGAGAAGAGTTAGACCTGCGGGTCATGTCTAGAGGCTCCTCCAGGCGTTTATAAACACCCCATGTGGGAGAGGGCAGTGCAGGGCAGAAACTGAGCAGCTCTTGCTTCCCAGTGACCAGACAGGAGCGGGCAGCCAGGGCTCCCCAGACATGGGCAGAACCCAGGGGCACATGAGGCATCCTGCCAGCATCCTTACATGAGACAAACTGGTATTAAGTAAACAGCAGGGACAGGTCAGGGGGAATAAGTCACCAAGGTTGGCACCCTAGCCTGACCTGGTAAGACCCAGGCCCCAGCTTGGTCTTGGTAAACTGGTAAATTGCACAGCACCTGGGACTAGCAATTAGCGTAATGGCTGTGTCGCTGGACTCCCACATAGTCGACCGCGGTTCGCGTCCTGGACCAGGTGGCTTAAACTCATGCCGGGCACATGTGCGTGCGTGCCCAAGATCCCGAGAGGAGAATGGAGGAGAAGGGATTGCGGCGTGGCCATCCCCCCGAGGGATGATTTTTTTGCTTTCTGTAGCTCTGTTTCTCTCTGTCTGTCTGGCGAGCGCACGTGCCCGGTAGCAAAAAAAAAAAAATCCACAGCACCTAACTGTCTGGGCACACTACGCCCTTGTCAACCTGCCCACATCTGGGCCCAAGAAAGTGGTTCCTGCCAGTGGGATTCTGCTTTTTGGGATACAGTGGCAATGAGGCATCGGCAGGGCCCTAGATGCC